GGGGGGCGGTGTCCAAAAGATGCTGAATGATACAGCAAGGGGCTGCAAAGGGCCTGCCAAAGGAAGGGGTGAGTTGCCAGAAGATGTCTTCACTGAGAATTTATTTGGGGGGGCCTTAGCTGGGAGTCGTGCACCTAGCGGTACCACCGGCTTGATGTGCCAGTAGGGGCTAAGGCGAAGCTGGAGAATTGGAATGGTAATCATGACACTGCTGCAGTACTACCCATCCTGGGCTTTGTATTGAGGGTTTATCAGGAAGTAAGGCAGTCTGGCCTTGGATGCAGCAATCCTGGAGCTCCAGTGAGAGCTTGCTGTAAGCTAATAGTACAGCACAACTTACTACAAATATTAGTACTGAGGTAGAGGGAAAAGCCAGGTGAAAAAAAAAAAAACACAACAGCAAACTAATTTGTTAACTGTGTTCTAGAGAAAGAAAACAAGAAGAATTTCTTGTTGCAGTAATCTCAGGTTTGCTTCTACAGTTTTCTCCTGAATTCAAGGCAGTGAATCCAATGCAGCAAGTCCCAGCCTTGAAAATTGATGGCATCACCCTTTCTCAGTCGGTGAGTTACCAGCCACATCCCTGTTAACCATTCACTCCAGCCTGCTGCCGGTCTGGAGGGTATGGCTTCGCCCCAGAGCTCTCATCTGTGCATTGGAAAAGAGAGGGCATTTGTGATAAACAATCCCACTTGGGGGCAGAAATAGCACATAGCCTCTGCTGGGAAACTGCTGTCAAGGGTTTAAGCTCGATTCAGCTTTGGTTCGTAATTCCACCTCTCGCTGAGCAGTTTGCAGCCTGACTTGGATGGCTGTGCCAGGGTTTGCCTGAAATTACACCTGGGCTAAATGACAACGAGGTCCCAAGCAGACATCGAAGGGGAAATATTCTGTGGTTGGACTGGTAACAAACTTCATTCAAAAGCTGTTGTATTCTGTTGGATCAGTTCCCCTTTCCCATGTGTTCAGGATGTGAACTTTTTGGGTCTCAAATAACCTCCCTTTATCCCTTCATTACAGCTGGCTATAATTCATTACCTAGAAGACACCCGTCCGAACCCCAGGCTCCTGCCCCTAGATCCAAAGAAGAGAGCCCAAGTCAGAATGATCGCAGATCACATTGTTTCCGGCATTCAGCCACTCCAGGTATTGCCTTGTCATATCCATGCAAATGAGAAAACCAGGATGAGTTTCCAGGAGTCTGTGTCTCTGAAAAGTTCAGTCTCTTTAAGTTGCTGCCAGCCAATGGAGTGGCAGACCTGAAGACTGTGTGTTAGCAAGTGAAGTATCTGCTGTCTCTTCCTGATCTGCCAATGGCAACAACACAGTATTTCCTAGAAAAAAAATCCTGTAGCACCCCAGGGTTCTTTCCAGAAACAGCTGAACCCATACAGTTTCACTGCAAGGTCTGGTATGTTTTAGGAAGACAACAGCTGAGTAACCCAAAGGGCAGAGGCAAAGGGATACCCTGGCAGCTGTTACAGGACAGTCCCAGGAGAGAGATACAGCAGGGTGCATGGTTCAGTGAGGCTGAGGTCAGGGCTGACCCAGCAGGCTGAACTCAGGCTGGGAGTTCAGGCTTGGTACCTCCTCATCTCCCCTCTCCTCCACTGGGTGAGGCAGTGGGTAAGATCTAGCCAGCAGCGGTCAGTCTAACCTGGAGATCACTTACCTTCACAGAACCTGGGCATCCTGAAACAAATGGGGGAGAAAAAACTGGAATGGGCTCAGAACTGCATCACATCTGGCTTCCAAGGTGCGTCCCACATCCAAAATGATCAGCACTTCGACTGACACTTCAAAACTCTGTGCTGCTGGGGTCCCACTTTACTCCTCAGGCAGAACAACAGAACTCCCTAGGCTGATGTGTTGGGGTCCTGCCCTGACGGTAGCACTCCAGAGTCTCAGAGGAAAGATGCTGTCCACAATGCACTTCCACTGCTGCCCCTGAGGCCATCCTGTACACGGCATCAGTTGATTCACCTTCACGTGTGAGGGCTGACAGCGCTTCTTCTTCCTGCCACCTGCTCCCAAACTAGTGCCTTTTGCTTTAAAAGTCTGTCAATCTATATTGATATGCTTTTATCACCAGACAAAATACATCTGATGGCAAACTCCCACAGAATCTAGCAAGTAGCAGAATATTTCTTTACCTCCTTGGGAGAAATAGGTGCTTTTTATTTCCTCAAAACCCTTTCCCCCATGTGCTGGAATGGCAGGCCCATCTTCACTTCTAGACAGACACAAACTGATTGAACCCTTGCATTTTTCTCCTCCCCACTCTTGCATATCTCTATATTGTCCTTTTAGTATTTCATGTGCATTGCCTGAAGCAGCTGAAATCACCCTGGGTCCCAAAAGGCTGAAGGACCCAAAAGACTCCTGTAATTACACCGTTGTAAGATTTCTGTTCCTTCTAGGTTCTGTCACAAATTGCTCCTTTTTCATACTCAGCTCAGGGTCAAAATGCCTTTATTCATAATTCCCAGTCTAAAAAGTCTTTGGTGTCCCATTCAAATGAGTTTTCAATGCCTCACTCTAGTGTACCCCCTCTCTTGGCAGCGCTGGAGCAGATTCTGCAGCACACTGCTGGACGCTACTGTGTGGGGGATGAAGTAAGTATCTGAGAGAGTCTTGTGTATCACTGGAGAACTGAAAACCCAGTACATTCCATAGAATAGGAAAGGAAATTAGTTGTGAAGACACACCACAAGCCCATCCTCTGCCTAGTTACATGCGGTGCCTCCACTATAAGAAAAGCAGCTGCACGGATCCCACTTAGGCCATTAGTAACTTGGAAATAGTTACCGAGTTATTTATTTGTCCCTGCCTGTAACATGCTGATGGCCAGATTCTGCAGCTGGATCTGGCTGCTACTAGAGGATGTGGAAATAGACTATATATATTTCATATGTAAGAGATTTGGAGTTCAGAGCGTCCTGTTGTAGGGGCAAAGCTTGGCTCAAGAAACAGATTCTGTTCTTAGCTCTGCTCTGTGGAACGTTTAACCGAGTTGTATTGTATTTTTCTGCTCTGTCCATCCAGTTTTAACATGGACAGGTTTCAGAGAGCTCACATACAAGCTGTTCTGACCTTTACCAAGCTAGAAGCCACTCAGACCTCTTCCATTTAGTAGTCCTGTTTGACAGGCAATTGGATCATTTCCTATAAAAGCCTGGCAAAAAATCCTTTTCTAGATTTTTTTTTTTTTGCCTTGCAGGCTCCTGCAATAACCTGGGATGCAGAGGATTGTCTAGTAGGAGCCTTAGGGAACTGGAGCCCTTGGTGGGCAAAGGCTGGTTACAAGATCTTATGCTGGAGAATAACATGTGCTGAAAGGCACCCAGAGCTTTGTGACCTGGGGAGTGGGGTGGGGGCAGCTGCCTCTGTGTGGACAGGCAGCTAGCTGTGTTGTCCTTGGGTCTTCAGATTGAACGTTGCTGAGCCTGTGTGCAAAGGCCCTGTTACGTATCAGGTCTTGACATTGGTAGGAGCTGCTTGATACTCCTGCAAAGCAAACAAACAAAATTTACTCATCTTTTCCCAGCCATGCAGACTCCTCCCTCCCTCTCTCCCTCACCTCCCTCTGCAGCTTGCCAACAGACTTGTTTGCTCAGAGGCAGTTGCCATAGAAGCACTGTCCTCTTGAGGTCTCGATGATCAGCTGGTAAATACAAAGCTCCCTAAAGGTGGATGGCTTCTTCTGCTAGTGACTCCTATGAGAAGTTCTTTTCCTTGTACTGTTGTCATATTATTTATGCTGGATTAAAGAATGGGATTGTTGTGACAGCTTCTCCATACTGGCTGATAATAATTTCTATCCTGCTGTCAAAGCATGCCACCACAGTGAAGTGTGATGGGACAGGCTCTGAGTTACTCTGACCCCTCTTCTCTGCTATATTTGCAGGTTTCTGTGGCTGATGTGTGCTTGGTGCCTCAAGTTTCCAATGCTGAAAGGTAATTAAGGCTAAGCTTGAGGTGCTCTTCAAGGGCACCTACTCCTTGTGCTGGGCTGTCAGAGTTTACCTTCTGCTGCTCCTTGTGCCTGTTAGGAAAGATCCCTCCTGCCTGCTCTATCCGGTTATGGATTCTTCTCTGCATGAATTTTCTTATGTCATAAATACTGTCTCTTTTGGAGGCTCTTGGAAATAAGGAGCTGGGCTCTCTTCTCAGAAGCCCCTGGAGGAAACCTGATCTATGTCCTTAGAAAAGCTGAGGTTGCCCCCACTCCACATCCTTTCTCCTTGTTTGCTCTATATTTACATTGCACACAGGGGAAAAAGATTAATCTGACTATATTTGTTGAAAGCCTTAAATCTATGCTAGCACTGGCTGCAAGATTCCCAGGAAAAGCACAGTGCCTTCTTACCCTGTGCTGCATATTACGTAAAAGTCTAGTGTAGACGGAAGAACTTACTAACCTTTCCTCTGGCATTTGTGTTTAAACCTAAAAGGATGAACCTTTTCTCTTAATGCAAAAGTACCCCAGCCTGTGAGAATCTCCCATGCTGGGCAGGCACAGCACACTGCTCTACCCTTTTGCTCACTGCTGCACTGGCTGTCATACTCAAGACTACCTCACAGATTTTTTTCCTTTTGCAGATTCAAAGTAGACATGGGTCCATATCCCATAATAATCAGAATAAACAAAGCTCTCCTGGAGTTAGAGGCATTCAAAGTAAGCCACCCATCCCGGCAGCCAGATACTCCTGCAGAGCTGCGAGCTTGAAGCCCTTCCACTCATTAAGTCAAGTAAGCTGCAGTGTCAAAGAAGACAACAGCTACAGCTTGGGTAGGACTTCAGTGCCAACAGGAAGCCCTAGTACTGTTGTCTCACTTTCATCTGGATGGGAAGAAGGACAGAGGACCTGGAAGTAGCCTCGATGACTTACAGGAGCTATGCCTGTGCTGGAAAGCTTGCAGCTACTTATGACCATGTTTTTTTCCTATCTGATGCATCTCCACAAAGCACATTAAAGCAGAAGAATTATCAGAAGTCCTCTTTGTATGGCTTTGGGTTGGGGAATGTGACCACAAACAACTGTGAGAGATTGAGCCAATTCTGGAGTCCCCACAGGGGCCTCTTTTTTTCTACCACCTACAGAAAGAACATCAGGGAAACAGTGTACACAGTGCAGATCATAGTGCACTACTCACCTAGCAGGCCTGCTTGTCCTTGCAGCTGCCTCACAGGTGGCATAAGCATCAGTGCCATGGATATAAACAGCAAGAGCTAGTCTCTGACAGAAGACAGCTTAATCCCAGCCCTTGTTGGGTCCCCTGGGTCTTGCAAGAGCCAAAAGTCAGCAACTCTGCCACTCCTTGCAATGAGATGAGAATTACTGCCTGGGACAGCCAATTTGTACCTCTTCCTTATGTCTAGCAGCAGTCTTGCAGAATTTATAATAAAGGTCTGTCCAGAACAAAGCTAGGTGGTTCTGCCTAGTCATCAAGAGACAACCAGCTCACTCCCCTATGCTGAAAATGATGGTGTTCTCTTCCTTTTCCCATCCTCAGACACTGCTCTAGGTGTTTTCCTAGGGGTCAGCTGCAGGCTATTTCCCAAGGGAATCCCACCCCAGATTCCCTCCAAACCAGAATCACACCTGTACTTTCACGGCGAGGCAGGAGTAAATCCCATTCCACTCATCCCAAATGAAACCCAACACCTGAGTCACCTTCAGAGCTGAAAGCACCCGGGAATTCCAGCCTAGAAACCTGAAGGGCAAGAAGGGAAATCCAGAAGCCTGTGACTGTGTTCTTGTGGAGGCTCAGCTCAGATCCCACTGAATGTTTTGGCACCCAAGCCCAGGTACCAAGCCAGGGATACGCGAGGGAATTTCTATCCGTCTGATGCTGTGTGTCAGCTGCCCTAAGAGGGCAATACCCACGGCCTTCAGAAAGGCTTTCCAAACCCGTGATCTCTTGTGCCAAGGTAGCATTCACCCACATATAGATACTTGGACTGCCACATTGCTTGGACTGATTTATTGCCATCCATGTCTGTATTCAGGCTGGTGAAGAGCCCTTGCTGTTCCAGGCTCATTCTGAGTATTGTGCATTATCCTAGGTCCAGCTGGATTTTGATTGTGCTGTTGTAAAAGGTGCTGGCACAGTTGGAGCCCCCAAAGACCAACACCATGTGCAGGTTATGCTCCTCTTTCTTCTCCTTGTCCACATCCATCGGGTGGGCAGGAGTCAGGTCAAGTAATGTGTGGCCAGCTCGGGGCACAGAGCAGAGGTCGTGGTGGATCACCGTACTCCACGAAAGAGTATCTGAAGTAGAAAGCGGATATCAATACTGACAAACCCACTCCAAAAGTAAGGGATGAAACAAATGGACCAGACTAGGTGTTCAGAAACACCACTGCAGCCCAACAGTCACCTTCAGCTATGGAGACCGGGTGGGAGAGTCACTCACCTAGGTGGAAGACAAAGGCATCCTGCAGGGCTCCCCTGGCATTGCAGCCTCCACTGATCAGAACCTTCTGATCTGACACAGCCAGAGCTGCATGAAAACTGTGAACAAAGCAAAGCCAAAAGGTGATTACAGCAAAACCTGCTTGGGTTTTCTCATGCAGCAGGAGCCTGGGGGCTCAAGCTGCAGATGGAAGTCAGCTTCTGCTTCTCTGCTGCCCTGACTTGCTGAATAACCCTGAAAGAGCTGTTTGTTTGCCTCTGCAGGTCAGGCCATAATCAGGCCTGAAAAACATCTCATCATCTCAGAAGGAGCTATCAAAACTCCTATGTTTTGCTCTATGGATTGAGGTAGCAGGCTAACTGGGCTTTGGTCTGATTTAGGTCTTTGTTCTAGTGGGCAGTAGTGTCCCCTTAGGCACAGCATAGTGCTGGTGCAAGAGTTTCTTCCTCTCTGTGTGTCTGTTGTACTCCAGGTACTGTGGAGACCAAACAGCAGGCAATACAGCACACTAGCACATGGCAGAAAACTTCCCCTAGCCTGACAGGCAGATTTCCTGGGAGACTAAGGGGTCTGTACCCCCCCACACCCAACAGGCACCAACTAGGACAGCGCAGGAATTTCTGGTCCCACAGTAGAGGGGCCATCCACTGCGTTTTGACTAGTGGGACAGAGGTATGCAACTGGGTCTGATCACAAGCACTGTTTAAACCTGGCTTCGAAGAGAAAGGACAGAGGAAGAAGATAGCTCCTGGGTCTGCAATAGGATCTTACCAACGTGCGGAAGGCTGTCCTGCGAGGAGGGGGACTGGTGTGTACTCCATGAAACCTGATAGCCAGGGGAAAGGCAGGTGAGATGTCCAAAAAGCTCAGCCTCGTAACTAGACAAAAACTTGCATACTCTGCCACATCAGCAACCTGCATTCTCTGCTACTCAGCTTCTTCCAAAAAAGCCATCTCTTGTTTTTGCCCATTCCCTCCCCTCTTACCCCAGAAAGGATTTTTTGACCCCATAGATTTCCATCTCCATTACCTAGTCAGGAGTTTTTATTACGTTAATGCTACTTCCCATCAAGCACACCTCATTCTCCAGTCGCTGCCTTAGAACAGACCTTCCCAAGGCATCCACCTGGCACTGACTTTCTTACCCAGATCCAGAATGTGCATGTCACTGAGGTAGAGAGAAGACCTCCGGCCCCCAAAAATCAGCAGCTTGTTCTTCAGTAGAGTAGCTGAATGCCTGGGCAGAGAAGAAGCAAATGAACAAAGTATCCTCAGCAAGTTCCCAAAACTGACGTTTCTGCCATGGCTTCTGCTATTGGGCTGCCATAGCTTCAGTCTAGACCTGCCTCTGTCCCCAGCCACTGCAGCCCAGGGACAGAATCCCATCAGTATTCACGACAGGAGGTACTGGCTGTCACATTGCTCAAACCATAGCCCTGTCTTAAGGAAGCAAATGGTGGAGAACAATCACCTAATGTTTAGGAAATTACACTGGGGTGGGAGGTAAGGTGAGCAGAGTTTCCTACTCTGTTTTGGAGGGCTGGAATATGAGCACTCTCACCCAAATCTAGGCAGAGGCTTCTCCCCTTCCGAGATGGGCTGATACCAAATTTCATGCTCTGGATTGAAGACATAGAGCACATTGCTGCAGGGTCCAACTGCCAGTGATGCCTTTCTGGGGAAAGTCCCTCCGAAAACGAAGAGCTCCTTGCGGTAGATAGTTGCACTGTGGTAGGTGAGCACTGGCATCCTCCCTTTAGCCTGGAAAAAAGTTCAACATACATTTGTTAGGAGAAGTGCATTATTTGCTGCATGACCTGTACGAAAGGGGCCCACATCATACAGCACGTTTGACAGCTCTCAGTTTTCACTTTATTGGCTCCCCAGCCAGATCTTTGCCACGCAGGCAGACAGTACGTCCTTTGCATACTCTGCACCACCAGAAAGCTCTGATGAGAGAAGGAAGTCAACCTCCTACCCCAGCTTCCTCAGAAGGTGACAGAGAACAGGAAACTCATCCAGGCTTATTCTGTAAAAGCCATCTTGTGACTTAGCCAGGAAAGAGACAGTCCCTTGCTGACAGGGCCCTCTGCAAGGATATGACAGGCAACTAAAGAGCTCAGAGATCTGCTGTGCTCAGAGCAGTCCCTGATTTGAGAAGACCAGCTCTTCACTCAGCATCCAGTGCAGCTCTCAACAGCACCATACAAAATGAGAGGCCATTTCCCTCTGCTGCTTGTACAGTACTTCCCACCCACGACCTCGGTCAGACACAGCACTCTGCAGCAACCATTTTTTCACCTTGCTTCATTCATTGTAGGCACAGCCCCTGGTTTCTGCCAAGCTTGTGGCCTTTCAACATAGCCTTCTTATATCCGTCAATCCCAAGTAAGCAGCTCAGACAACCTGCAGCAACACCAGACCGAGACTACTGGAGTAAGGATACAGGTGCTTCGATTGCCACATTCGGGCAGGACCTGCCACCTGTCCTGCGCTTTTGTCCAGGAAGAGCTGCAGTACTTACAGCCACGGGGAGCCATTTCCAGGTGACTGTGTCCAGGATGTAGATGCCGCTGTAGTCTTTGTCCTCCCTTATGCCCCCAAAGATGTAGATACGCTTGGTGTCGGGGTCGTAGGTAGCTGTGTGGCCACGCAAGCACGATGGCATGGCGTTGCGTAGCTGGAAACCCACTGGAAGCCAGAAATCACTGCCTGTGGGAGCAACACCAGACAGAGGATGTGGGAGTTGAAAGATGCTCTCAGTTTCTCCAGATTTAAAGAATATGCCATAAAATCTTTACTCAAGACTTTGCTCCTTTCATCTCCTCCTCTCCTTTGATTCAGGGCTAGGGGGAGTCATACAGAAATGTTTCTGTGTAAGGAATGAAGAGGAACACTAACTAGGTGGGGAATAGTAAGGTGGAAGAGAGGATGAGTGAAGTGCATAAAGCTGCAAGGCACTGGAATAGTATCTCACACCTCCACCAATCACACACAGACTGCAAACCATGCTGTTGCTTTTACCCCTCAAAATTCACCCAGCTCTTCCCAGAACTTATGCCTTAGCTCCTGGAGGGCTCTCCCATACAATCCCACAGCCTGTCATGGCACCCTACGCTGTCACCTCAGCCTAGTGACCATGCTAGGGGATGTGACACCTTTGCTGTCCCCTCCCCATACATAGACCCCCGAGTACCCCCTCCCATCTGCACGAGCTGTGCTCGAGTCCCACTGCCCGCATTGCCTTTGATAGCCCTGAAGTCCCCACCAGTTTCCAGCTTCCAGAGCGCATCCTTGCAGGACTGCTGATTGACACCTTCTCCACCAATCAGAACGGCTGTCCCCAGGTCACTGAGGCACATGGCATGGCACCACCGTGGGCTGGGACTGCCTGGGGAGGGCAGAGCACAGGGCTGTGAGCAGCGGCAGACAGGACACCCCCAGCTCTCTTCCCTACTGGGGAGAACAAGGCAGCTGAAGGCTCAGAGGAGAGAAATGGGAAGGCGAGGGCCCCAGGCCCCTTCCCTCTGGGGTGGCAAGAGAAATAGCTCTCTGAGGAAGATTTTCTGTTGGCTTTGGGGAATAATTGTTGTATGAGGAGAGTCAACACTAGCAGAGGGAGCCAACAGAGTCTGGCTGGATGTAGGACGCGTACAAGCTGCCACTTCAGACAGGTTTAGATGCCTCCCATTCATTACTCATCCCCAGAAGGGATATCCCGGTTGCGCTGTCCCCCTGTGTTATTCCTTGTGAGGGAGGGCTACCCAGGGACAGCTTGTTTGTGCCCAAGATACAGCAATCAGAAGTCTCGAGCTCCTTCCAGAGATACTCCTCATTCTGCTCTGTTCCTCCTCCTCTCTTCTCCCAGGCCCCCACAGTTGGCTAAAAGATACTTTTTATTCAAAGTCTATTCCACATCTTACCCTCTGCCTCAAAGGGCTATGCACCCAGAGGTGGGCCTGAGTCTCAGAGGGGCTACAGAAGCATACTGGGGAGCCTGACAGTACTGGAAGTGCCTATACCGAGGGCAATTGCATGGAGAGGAACAGTACATGCACACAACCTACTTGTTATTCTTGATCACTGGGGAGATAAAGGACGAAGCACGAGAGGCCTGTGACACTAAATGGAATGGCATCACCAAGTCGCTGAAAAGACAAACCAGGGTCTCGGAACCAGAGCCTCACCTTGCAACTCCTCCACTGCCAGATCTGCCAAGGAAACACAGAGATGGCCCCATAAAGAAAGCAGCCAGCAGACATATCCTGGAAAGTGCTCAGCTCTACAGTTCAAGAGCCCTTTGGCTTTCCTTCCTCCAACCCCAGCACAAAGCTACCTCACTGCAATAAACAAGGTGCAAGACCAAGAATCCTGAAGAAAGTCTTATCAGAAGAAATGCAGAAGACGGGTAAGAGCAGGGCACACTTCCTTTGACTGCCATCATGCTGTCACCACTGCATTTTACCCCTCTGATGGAAGCTCATTTTCCCCCTTCTCACACTGCCTACAGCGGAAGCGACTTTACGATGGAGCTACATTTGCCTTTGTGAGAAGCAAGTTAAGTCACTTCACATGGGGACCACTGAGTTATTTCCAAACATTTACACATAATATTGGTCACACCCTGGAGCTGACTTGGAATTCACACTCCAGAAACTAAAGGTTTTGTTTCCAAACACCCTGGCAGCTACTTTCTCACTACTGTCAGTACAGCTATGCTAATTATACATATATATCTATTCCTTTTCATATTCTCTATACTTTAATAATAACCAATCTCTTTTATGGACCAAGTGGTATGCTGTTAGTAGGGGAACAAACAGACTAATGGAGAGGTTATAGAACATCACAGTAGGTAACAGTTTACTCTTGTAAAACAATGCTAACAATACTTGCCTTCATTTATAAAGCACTTTTACTCATATGAAAAGACAGGTATATTATGTTATGGTACAGGGTGTTGGCACTAAGAGTATCCCATGTTCTCTTTCTGGCCTTTTCCCAGCAGGCAAAAATTCATCAAGCAGTTTATGCAGGACTAAGGAGCAGCTCTGGGTATTTCGCAAGCCAAGACAGATAAGCCCATCTTGCCTTGGACGTATCCAGAGAAATGGACTGTGAATTTGTTGCCCAGCAGCACTGCCAGATCGTTCAGACAAGACCTGCAAAATAAACCCACAAGCTGGCAGAGTTACCTTCTTCATCGAGATCTCTCTCAGATGCTGTGGGTTCAAATAAAACTTTCCTGGGCTTCTTGGGGTGGACAGGACTCTTCCTCCAGGCCTCACTGGTTTCCACCTTGCCAAATGGTGGCTTCAGGGCCCAGGGTACCGCCACGGTCCTCAGGGGTGGGTGGACGTCCTTCCTCCCAGGCCTAGACGCTCTAGCAGTCACCTCTGAGCACTGACTCTTCACCTGTAACAAGACTGCCAGTCAAATTAGCCCTGAAGAAAAAGACCTGAGGCTACTGTGAGCTGTCTGTTACTGAGCCAGAGATTAGTTTCACGTGGTAACTGTTTTCAGGCTCATCTTCCCATTGAGCCTTAAGGGCCAGCACGCCAACAGTATCTGCCACCAGATATATGCTGAGCAATGTAGCTACATGCTGGTACTGGCCCAGTGGTCTGCTTTCAGACTGTTGGCTGCGACGGGCACAGCTAGCACACGGCAACTGGAAAGGCAGAAAGGCCATCTGTGCTAGGAGTAACCAGGCTGATGGACAGTCCCACCAAGGGCTGTTAAATTCAACCCTTCCAAAGGCATTTCAATGGAGAGTACCGCATTCCGTAGCGCAAGTGAATCTTCGGCTCCGAAACTTGCTTAGCTAGGTCTCCACTAAGAGAGTGGCAGCAAATGTTCCTGCTAGACATCAACTGAGCAGGTATGAGTGAGGAAGAAGATACTAAGGAGAGGGTGAGATAACAAGAGGAAGGCTCCAGCAGACACATACCACAGGAGGATCCTCCAGGTCCTGGGCAAGGTGCATATCATCTGCTGGGAGCACGGGCGACTGGCTGGTCTCCGGGACAAGGAAGGGGCGGGCGGGCGTACTGCTGGAGACACCTCGGAGCAGCTGCGGCAGAAACAGGGACAGCGAGAATAAAAGGACACGCCAAGCGTGCTGGCCTCCATCCACAAAGGCCAAGCAAAACGATGTCTTGCAAGGGACAGGTTCCCTGCACGGGAACAGCCCAGCTTTCATCTCCAGCACCAACAGAATAAACAAAGAAAAGCAAAGCCAGGCACTGGGAGATGCTAAATCCAAGGGCTTCAGCACAAGGTAAAACAATTGTCCAAGTACCACAGATCCAGGAGAGAGTGGAACTGGAAGTACTCTGCTGCCCATCTCCTGCGACACACGAGGTGTTCTGGCAGAGCTGGGTTTAGGGAACAGGCCTGGAGCATCACAGAGGGTCCAGGCTCAGCACAGATGTGCAGTAATGGATCCGCATAAGGTGGCTCTGCCTTGGAGTAGCAAAGAGAAGGAAAAGGAGAGGATGGGAGAGGAAGTTCTGTAGCTCAGAAGGGCCAAAATTTGGGACTCAGGACAGGAAGAGAGGAGGATGTTGGTTCTTTTACCTGTCCATGGACAGTCAGGACAAGCTTCACAGAGTTGCCTTTGTCCATCTCTTTCAACGAGGCCATGAAAACATCTGTCCTCCAGTCACCTTCCCACACCAGAGACCTGCACAGGGGACCATGGGTTTTCAGCCCAGCGGTGACACCGACCAGGGAAAAGCTCCTGCTCCCACACTAGCTGCTAACACCCCAAAGCCAAAAAAGATGCAGCCCTGAAAGCAGCCGAAAGGAAGCCAAAAGCACCCCCAGAGAGGAACACCATGGTGGAGGACCGGCAGGCCCGAGCAGCTCTGGGATGACACCAGCAGAACGGGGCAGCCCCAGGGAGCAGACAGCTTTGCCAGGACACCCCTCCTGACCGCCTGGCATCAGCCGCGACCTGCGGGCAGGCTCCAGCGTGCCGACCCG